GCCATTCATATATTTTTTATTGCTGTATAGTATTCTGCTGTGTGATTGTTCCAACATTTGACTGTGGAGGGCATTTGTACTATTTCCTGCTTAAGATTATTGTAAATAATGCTGCCAGGAATGCTCTCACACCCGCTTCTGGATGTGTTCACTGTTGTGTTTTGGTAGGGTATCAAGTCAGGAGCACAGCTGCTAGATCATAGGTTATCCGTGAGTTCAGCTCTGATGGTATCCACCAAGAAGTTTCCCAAAGTGATGGTGGTGCTTCCTGTTCCCTCTGAGTGAATACATGTGTCCTGCTTCTTTCACCAACATTCGATATGGTCAGGATTGTTTGGGGTTTTTTTGGGTTTTGATTCTTTTGGGTATACAGTTGATTCATTGTGGTTTGAAATGACTAGTGAGGCAGAGCACAATTCATAGGCCTATTGGCTTACTTTATCAAGTGCTGGTGAAGATCGCCTGTCCATTATTCCAGCAGGAGGCCTTGCTCTTACCTACTGATTTGTAGGAGTGATTTTTATATCCGATATGGCCATTGTCTGCTGTGTGCGTTATGAATATCTGTTCCCACTCTACCCATCCTTCCCCTTCCTGATGCCTGTTCATGAATAAAGTTATTGATTTAAATGTACCCAATTTATCAACACTTTCCATTTTGGTTTGTGCTTTTTTTTGTCCTATTTTTAAAACCCTTCCCTTGCCCAAATTCATAAAGGTGGTCTTATGCTTCTCGGCTAGTGCCTTTATTGTTTTACCTTTTATTTTATTTTTTTTTAAGATTTATTTAGTTATGCATACAAGATCTGAGGTACAGGCCAGAGATGTGGGGGGGTGAGAGGATTCACCAGAGACAGAGTGGGGAACAGAACAGGCAGACTGACTGAAATACACTGCTGAGGGGAGCAGCGGGCGAGGCAGGAGAGGTCTGCTGCGCCATGTGGGTTGCTCCCTGGCTAGCTAGGGATAAAATTCATGCTGCAGAGGCTGCAGATTGCTTCGTAATGCGGTGCTTAACCCCTTGCGCCACCAGGGAGGCCCTGTTTTACCTTTTATGCTTGGAATTATGCATCTGGAATGTTATAAATCACACTGTGATAGGAGTCAAATTTCCGTTTATATGGGGCCTATGCATGAGGTTGATGGATCACCATTTATTTCCCTCTGCCCTCTAATGCCACCTCTGTCGTAAATGCCAGCATGTGTAGCTCTGTGGCAGGGTTCTCTGTCCGCGTCTTTGCCTGACTTCATAATCTTTGCACCGATATCACCCTGTCTTAGTAACTGCAGCTTCCTCATCAGTTTTGGCAGCTGACAGAGCAAGTCCTCCCACCCAGTTCCCCTTCAAACATATTTTGACCATAAAATGGCTGTTCAAGAGCCCAAATTCCTAACATGTGCGGGAGTGGGCCCCCCACACCAGCAAGCATAGGGCAGAACCTGAGAACGCAGCTGAGTCTGACCTGCCTGCCCGGAGATCAAATCAGACACCACAGGTCAAGGACTCGGGGTCACCGAGCTGCCTTCACCACCACCGCAGCCTCTGATTGACAGGCTATAAACGGGAAGTGCCCTTGAACCCCTCCAAGTCAGCATGCCAAGCTCGAGTGCAGGTTGGCGCCTGCGCTTCTGACCTACTGGCTCTAAGTCAGACAGCCCCACGAGCCCAACCCCCCCTGTGGGTTCCATCCGTTGGCCGGGGCAGCTCACAGGCCTCAGAAGCGTTTTCCTCCCTAGGTCACTGGCTTATTGTCCAGGGATTTCATTCGGGAACGGCCAGCTGGCCGAGAGGCGTGGAGCAAGCGTGGGGAGGGCGGCACAGGTCTCCCTGCCCTCTGGACACGGGCCATTCTCCCAGCACCTCCACGCGTCCACCGACCTCAACCTCTCCAACCCCCTCCTCCTCCTTTTTTTTTTTTGCTTTTTTATGGAAGCACCATTACAAAGCCTTGATTAATTAGCTTCAAGAATTAATTAAGTGCCAGTTCCTGAGAGTGAGGGGGTGGGGCTGAAACTTCCAAACCCTCTACTCACAGGAAGGTCCCAGGGCGACCAGCCCTCCCTTCCCTTCCCGGGCGCTTTCCCAAAGCCTAGTGACAGGAGGCACCCCCACCACCCTCAACACAAATGGGGACGTATGTATTTCTTGCTACAAATCACATTATCATGTGATCATTACAAATCATAACTAAACTTGTCCTTTTTATTTCTCATACATGCTAGGAACCGTTTATCCATTTTTACAGGACACACAAAGTAGTGGGTTTTGATTAAATCTATAAATCCATTTAAGGAAGACTGACTTTTTTTTAAGATTTTATTTATTTATGCATACTAGAGCTGGGGTGTAAGCCAGAGGTGTGGGGCCGTGGCCGGGGTGGGGGGTAGGGGTGAGCGGATTCACCAGAGACAGAGTGGGGAACAGAACAGGCAGATGGACCGAAATACACTGCTGAGGGGAGCAGCGGGCGAGACAGGAGAGGTCTGCCGCGCCATGTGGGTCGCTCCCTGGCTACAGATGGAACTTGTGCTGCAGTGGCTGGAGATAACTTGATACTGCTGAGACTTTAACTCCTGAGCCACCACGGAGCCCCAAGGAAGACCGACTCTTTAAAAATTGTATTTTTCAATCCATGAACATAATATGGCCCTCAATGTACTCAGATTTAAATATTGCTTACATGTTTCAATCATTGAACATGCCACGGCCCTTAATGTCTTTACGTTCAAATTATTTTTAGTTAGAGGATGAAAACATGAATACATTCTTGTTAAAAATACAAAAATTAGAAATGAAGCAAATATTCCTTTCCCTTTCCAACTCAGCAGTAGCCACTGTTACTACATACTTAAATGCACGCACACGCACATGTACACACTCACATGTACACACTCACTAGTATTGCATGGGACCATATGTATTTGCCACATGATTTTTTAATTTAACAGTGGAGCGTGGTCATCGCTCCGTGTCAGAACAATTAACTCTAGGTCATTCTCTGCAGTTCTGCCTGTAGCCCGGAGACTGGGTGTGCCCCTAGTGTGGGAGCACAAACTTCGCTGCAGCAAGCACCCTGGACCATGCTTTCTTGGACGTGTGTGTGTGGGAGCTAACCTAGAAGCAACGAAGCCCATTTGGGTCCTGCTGCGGTTGTCCAGAACAGACACAATAAGAGATGGAACTAGGCTGGGGAAGAAAAGGAGGTCAAATTTCCTCTTGTGCTCCCTCTTGACAGTCTCCTGGGCCTCCCAAACCCCTGTCAGTCATGGGGATGTTGTAAATCAAAGATGCACAGCACAGCAGAGGGTGGGGGTGGGGCAAGGGTCCTCAGGGTGAGGGCAGCAAGAAAGAAGAGGGGGGAGATGAGGACTTTCATCTCCAAATCATACCTGCTCTGGGTAGGGCCTGTGCCCGCTGTGGCCCCCACACTGAGAGCCTGGCAGCAAACCCAGCTCATCCCAAATGAGGAATCTGAGGCTCAGCAAGGTGAGCGGGCCTGTCTGAGCTCATAGTGACCAGACTGGGTTTCTGATCTGACCACCAACCCTGTGCGTATCTGCGGTATCTGGGCGTCTCCCCGCGAGCGGTGCTGTTTCTCGGGGCACCAGATGGGCACATCTAGAGGAGCCAAGACTGGAACGGGACTAGGGCAGGTGCTGAAGAGATGGCCCAGCACTGGCGCCAGTTAGAGGGCTTCCAGCCAGAAGACTAGACCGTGGCAGGCGACAAGTGGTGAGCGCTGAGCCCCTGCTGTCTCGGAAGTCCTCCCCAGGAAGCCGCCGCCCACCACGCGGCAGGTTGGAGGCAGCGGCTGGGAGCCAGGCCACAGCCCAGTCAGCACGGGGCCCAGCTGGGAGCCGGGAGCGGAGCTCTGCCTCTGGCGCCTTGGGAACCTGACCGGGCCCAGGAGCCCCCACCCCAGCCCATGTGCAAAGCCCACACAGCCTCAGGAAGGCTGCAGGCAACGGGTTCAGCAAACCCCGGCTTAGCCTCCCCTCCCACCCCCTCCACGGTCCTGTCTGCCTTCCCTTCTGGATCCCTCTGTTTAGATTTAAGAAATTCTCTTCACTGAACCTGTCACACATAATAGCAGAGGATTTCTATTCTCTAGTAAATATAGTCTATTATGTTTTCTATGCTTATATATGGGCATTTATAAATTTCTTCCCCACGTTGAGCTCACACTGAGCTTCATTTTCGTTACCTGCTTTGAGCGCGCTCTGTGCCGCGACCGGGGCAGGACCGTGCCGCATGCGAGCGCAGACCTAGGGCCGGGGGCCCCGATGGCAGACCCTGGCTCTGCCCCACCTCATCTTGCTGCAGCTGTGGTCTTGGTTTCCTAGTTGGTAAAATGGGGCTGGTTGGAGGGGTAACGGAGGGAGGCCACTGACTGGAACACGTAAGCTGCTCCACAAACACCAGGCGGGAGGTTTTCGTTCTTCCTGACCGAACATCACAGCCGGGCATCCTGACCCCACCTTGCACCCTGGATCTGGTACCTGGGTCACAACCTTGACCCCAAGTCCTTGTCTGGGGGTCCTGGGCCTACCCCGCATCCCTTCCTGGTTCCTGGAGTCTGGAGCCTGGGAGTTCATTGGGATTTCCGAGAGGCTCCTTTCTAGGTTTTCAGTAACATGAGGAAGAGGGAAATCGGGAGAAGGCAGAAGGCAGAGAAGCACCTCTGATTTGTCCAGGTCCTAAAAACCTGACCCTGGGTCCTTTGCGTTTCTGTCGCTCGTGGGCTTCCCCAGCTGGTGTCTGAGCCCGGGTCCTCCAGGTTGGCATCAGCAGACGAGACGTGGCCCCTGGGGCAGACCATTAGCACCGCTGCTCTCGGGGAGCAAGGAGGGGTGAAGACAGAGTCATCAGCACCCCTCCGTGGAGTGGCTGAGACTCGGGGGCACAGCTTGTTAGCTGGCGACTTCCAAATGTGGGCGCAGATGTGGATAGGAGGCTCCAGTGGGTCTGGGGGCTCAGCTCTGAGCTCTGGGATCCACAGGAGCTGAACAACTACCGGCGAGCCATGCAGAAGATGGCAGAGGACCTCCTGTCGCTGCGGAGACAGGTCGGCACCCTGGAAGCGGAGAACCGTGTGCTGCGGAGGCGCCTGGACCAGGACAGGTTGGAGGAGGAGCAGGACGACATTGACGAGGTCCAAAACCTGGGTGAGGGAGCACGGCCACAGAGGACCCCCGAGCCCACCCGAGCCCCAGCTCTAGATGGGGAGCCGCCCTCAACACCTGCTGGATGTGGTCTGGCCAGAGCTGGCCGGGTCATCTCTGGAATAGGAGACAGAGCATCTCATCCTATACCCCTCCCCAGGGAGACGCCTGCCCCCAGCCCCCAACTGTGCTGGGAGAGGCCTCCTTCCTGAGCTAGACCTCTTCTTCCTCCAGTGTCCATGAATCAGAAAATGCTAATTAGCAAGCTGGACATGAAGAAACTGAGGGACAAGGTGCAATATTTGCAGAACGAGCTGATTCGAGTGAGCGGGGGCTTGAGGGCCAGAGGGTGCAGAGCTTGGGGCTGGGGAGCGAGGGTGGGAGTGTGGGAGGAGATGTATCCAGGAGCAGAGGGAGAAGGGTTAGCGCAGTGAAGGGCTCAGCAGAGGGGTTTGGGGTGGACTCTCGGGGCCAAGAGTAAGGCCCAGACACCCTTTCTTCCCACCCAACCCCTTCTTCTCCTTCCCCTGCCTTCAGAAGAATGATCGCGAGAAGGAGTTACTCCTTCTGTACCAGGCTCAGCAGCCACAGAACGCTCTGCTGATGCGGTACCAGGACAAGCTGCAGAAGATGAAGGCGCTGGAGGAGACTGTGCGGCACCAGGAGAAGGCAGGTACCAGGGGAGCTGCCTGCCAGGGGCCAGATCACAGGGCCCAGGCACAGATGGGAAGGGAAGGCGCCCCAGGCCAGCACAACCTCTACGCGCCAACCTCCAGGTGATCGAGAAGATGGAGCGGGTGCTGGAGGACAAGCTGCGGGAGAGGAATGAGCCGCTGCTGAATAGGCCGCAGGGAAAGCCCGGCGTGGGTGAGTCTGCACACCTTGTGGGTGGCCTACTCCCCAGCTCGTGTCCCTCCCTGGAGGCCCTGCCTGCCCAGGGGCCTCCCAGTTGCAAGAGAACCATGGAAGAGGGCAGAAGGGCACTGGTCCCCTACTTGTTCAGGCACCCAGATCTTACAGAGGGCCCCTGGGCTCCCTTCTGCCAGAGAGCCCCTCAGAACACAGCAGGAAGGACACGGTGTGTTGTGTGACTCAGGCTAGAAAGAAGCTTGGACCCTTTGGAGAGAGGCCTGCAGCCTGGAGAGAGCAGAGGGGGGCTGCCTGGAGCAGCAGTTCCTGATTTCTTAACTCTAGGGTGCTTGGAATTAGTTCCTCATCTCTCCAAATCTGCAAAACAAAAAATATCTCAGTCAAATCAATGGTTTGTTTTCCCCAATGGTGTTAACCAGAGCCACCTAGAACTGCCAGTCAGAGGGTCTTTGCTGATAGGAAAGAAGCAGATCACATCGTGTTGGACCAGCTCAAACAGAGGGTGTCCCTGAGCCTATGGGTGCAGCCTCACCAGGGCATCTGTGTGCCCAACCCTGGGCTCAGCCCTCACTGTGGAGATGTGTTGGTGCCAGGCAGGGTGGTCGTGAAGAACTTTGGAAAACAATGAAAGCTAGACCTGCCTTTCAAGAGCCCAAGGCCATCCAGGAGTGGGATGAGAGAAGACAACCTAGGAAGGAGACCGGGCAGAGGTCCCAGGATGGCAATGCGGGCAACAGAGGAGGCAGGAAAGAGAGAGGTGCAGACCTGAGCTCACCCAGGATGAAGGGCTGCGGGACAGTGCTTGGGGCCAGCATTGGCATCAGACCCTAAAGAAGCTAGAATGATGGGCTGCGGGATGTGGGCCTGATCCCACTGGCCCTGGGGAGCCTTTGAAGGCTTGAGAGCAGAGGAGGGGCAGAATGGAGCAAAATGTTAAGGAAGATCGGACCCGGGCCCAGGAGACAGGAAATCCTATCGCATGAACCCCTGTGACCGCATTTACAGCCTTCCCCACACCTGCCGCCTCTGGCCTTCCCCCGGGGACTACAGGAGAGAATCTGCCTGCTGACCTCTACTCCGCGCTGCTAGCAGAAAACACCAGGCTTCGGGCAGAGCTGGATAAGAGCCGGCAGCTGGGGGCCCCCATCATTCTACAACAGCAGGCCCTGCCGGTAAGAGCTGCCTGCCCAGGCTTAACCTGGGTCATCCTGGAGAGACCAGGGGTGGGGAGTCACTGGGTGCCTAGCAGCCACTCAAAGCACAATTCAAATGAAAGGTCAAGACTGGGAGCTGGGCCTCCCAGTCTCCAGGGGACTTGGAGTTTCCTGGAGCGCCAGCTCTCGGGCCTGGCACTTTTCCTCCTGGGGAGCACACCTGTCTGACAGTTTCACCTTAATCCTCATCTAGCACCCTGGGAAAAAGCAAGCCCTAATTGGCCCCTGATCCTTGACCCCCCAACCCTTTGCCACCTGGCTGACCCCCAACCCTTTGCCACCTGGCTGGCGCACACTTGGACTCTACGTGAGCCTCTCAGAACTCCCTCCAGTGCACTTCCTGGGACTGGTGCAGCCTTGGAGAGCCCTTCTCCCCATCCCAGGTGGACCCCGGGGAGTTGGGCGCAGGAGGAGATGTGGCAGAGAGGCTGCGAGAGACAGATGGCCCAACACAGAGCCCGCCCGCACAGGTGGGTGCCCGGGCCCAGGAATGTCCTGGTCTCTTCACTTCTGAGGCTGCTACAGGTGCCTCTGCTTGTGCTCACCCAAAGGGAGACATGGAATTACAGAAGAGAATGAACCAGGGGCCACAGGGCGGCTTTCCCCTTCATCCAGGACTCACAGGATGTAAGAACAGGCCAGGGAACCCTTGCTTCATACATTCTTCGCTTTACAAAAAGACTCCCAGGTCATGATTCCGCTCTGCGCTAAAGGATGTTCCCTAGCATTTTACATTAAAAAATTCATGTGTAGGGCCTCCCTGGTGGCACAACAGTTGAGCACTGGGCTGTGAAGCTGCCTGCAGCCTCTGCAGCGCCAGTTCAATCCCTGGCTGCCTGGCGAGGCCCACATGGTGCGACAGACCTCTCCTGCCACGCCCGCTGCTCCCCTCAGCAGTGTATTTCGTCAGTCTCCCTGTTCTGTTCCCCGCTCTGGCTCTGGTGAATTCTTTCACCCTCCTGCACTTCTGACTGTACCCAGTGCTTGTATAAATAAATAAATAAATCTTTAAAAAAAAAAAAAAAAGAAAAGAAATAAGCCAGAAGGAAAAAAAAATACATGTGTAAAAACTTCATAGAGACCGTGCAAAAAGTATATGCCAGGTAGGGGCTTGAGACAGAGTTCAGCCTTGGTCTGAGCTCAGCGTGGGGACCTGAGCTCGCAGCCCAGACCTGGCACTTACTCCCTGGTGTCCTGCGCTCCTGGGCCTCCTGGCTGGGCCAGGTGTGAGTTTCCGCTTTGCCCATAGGATCTCCTTGCTACTTCTTCAGACAAGTTTAACCTCTTGGCCAAACTGGAACAAGCCCAGAGCCGAATCCTCTCCCTGGAAAGCCAGGTGAGCGAGACCCGGGGGTTGGGGAGGCCAAGCAGACTACTCCTCTGGCCATGACTAGGCCCACGGCCCCTCCACCCCCCAACCCCCACCTCCCCCCCATACCCTTGAACTCCCTAGGAAAGTGGCAAGCCCACAATGCCCCGGGTTTTGCTTTCTGCCCTGAGAGCAGGCTCAGGCTCTGGTCACCCTGTCCCTCAGGGATGAACCCACTTCCCATGGTTGCCATCTGTCCCTCTTGTGTCTGCAGCTAGAGGACTCAGCTCGACGCTGGGGACGAGAGAAGCAGGAGCTGGCCACCCGGCTGCAGGAGCAAGAATATGGCTTGGAGCGTCCCGGAAATGCCGGTGTCACAGCCCTGCCTGTGAGTGAGCCCTCTAGAGGATTTTTTTTTTTTAATAAATTTTATTTTTATATTCCCATTACAATTGCACCCCCCTTATTTTGACCCCAATCCCTCCCCTCCCTGCCCCCCAACCCCCATAGAGTGTCTCTGGTTCATAGTTGTTTGTTGATTTTGATTTTTACTTTCTTATAGTTATTCTTTTTCCTGGTCCCTTATTTAGGTTTTCTAGATTCCTGCTATGAGTGAGACCATCTGGTATTTGTCTTTTTCTTTCTGGCTTCTTTCGCTGAGCATGATCCCTTCCAGCTCCATCCATGTTGCTGCAAATCGCATGTGTTTACCTTTTTTGAATGCTGAGTAATATTCCATGGTGTATATGGACCACATCTTCTTGATGCAGTCATCTATTTTTGGGCATTTTTCTCAAGCACACACGGATCTAGAGGACTTCTTGAGGCTCGGGTGGTGGGCTGGCAGCCACACACACCCGCCCCCGTCCCTGTCGCCCGGCCTTGAGGAAAACCTAGGAAACCGCTCCCCTAATGTATGTCAAAGACCTGGGCTCCCGCTTCTGCCCTGTTCCCACCAGAGGCCTTTGTCCTCTCAATCTGCCGTTTGTCTAAGGGGTGAGACGCCCCTCCCAAAGCTGCCTCCTTCCCCCCAGGGGGGTGCTGAGAATCAAGGACATGGCTGTAGATGAAGGTTACCCACATGGGCATTTCTCAGCCGCCCTACGCTGCCTGTCCTTTAGGACTGGATTTGCTCATGGGCGTTTGCTGTGACCCCCACCCAATTCCACAGTGCCTAAGTTTCTCCCATGAGCACCCTCTTCCTGGGCGACTACATGGCTGCAGGTCACCAGGGACTGGAGCTTGTGGCCCCGGGAGAAACCTGCTTCCCAAGAATAGACCTGCTCACAACTGCCCCTCAAGCTTAGCCTGGGGGCCACCAAGCCCCCCAGAGCAGACCACCATGGCTCCTGCTCTTGAGCCAGCTGTAGCCCTAGTCAGATGTTACAGGTTCCTGGAGTGGCCTGAAGGTGCGGGCAGGGAATGCGGGACTCTGGTCGCAAACTTGCCTGCTGGTCCCTGGGGACTCAGGGACACGGGGTGGACCTGCTGTGGGTAAATGGTTTGGACGTCTTTGAGAAATCATGGCCCATTGAAGCCTGGCTTCCTAGGCAAGGTGCATTTGAACAGGTCACCCCCTGAGGGCAGGACATGCTCACTTCACCTTGCTTTTGTACCCCACAGAACCCCTCAACCCATCCTGAGGACCAGACAGGACCCTCGAAGCTGGACCCCTTGACGTCAAACTCAGAGGCTAAGCTCGACAAGCCCTCGAACCCCCAGGAGACATGAGCACTCAAGCAAACTCCCCTTTCTGTGCTGGGGAGTCTTATCCCCACCCCCTAAAAATGATTTTAATAAATGCATTCATCTCTTTCCTGGAGCAGAGCAGCCTGGGAAGTCTAGCAGCCTCCTCCCAGGCCCCATAGCCTCTGTCTGACCCAGGAGGTACTATCTTTGGAAAGCCAAAGGCCCTGGTGGGCCCTGGAGGTAGCGGGGAGAAGAGGCCGCCAAAGCAGGAGCCAGGGAGATAAGCCCCTTCAGACCTCAGGAAGAAGTGAGACCACCAGAGGCAGTCTGTTTGGAGATGGGACAGAGGCTGCTCCCAAACATCCATTATAGCTGAAATTCTTGGGAAGGGAGAGACTGAACAAGCCTGCCTGCCGCATAGCTTCGTGTGAGTATGAAACACCCCATTAACCGGGACTAGCCTGAGCTGATAATGCTCTGTCCAGACGTAGCTGGGGACAGGAAAGCAGACAGAGGCAGGGAAAGGAAACCTCTACTGAGGGTCAGGAGACCCAGGTTCTAGCCACAAGCATGCTGGGTGACCTTGGGTGACCCAAGCAGCCACTCTGAGCTCGCTACCCTTCTACCCCATGCAAAGCTTGACCTTTTTGACAGTAAGGTCCTTTCCAGCTCCAATATCTCTGAGTCAAAGATGATGCAGGCCGAGGGAAGAGAAAGGAAGCAGGGAGGAGAAAGACGAAGAAGAGGACTGTGTGATGGGGAGAAGCAGAAAGGCTCCGAGAATGGGCTCAGACTGTGTCGGCCATGGTAGACAGACCACGCTGCTCCGCGGCTGTCCTGAGCAGGGCGCGCCCCCCAGTCAGCCTGTGGGACTTGGGCTTGCGCAGCTGAGGATGGCATCAGGCCCTTGGCCAGGTCAGGAGTTACAGAGGGTTCAGGGACCAACGTCAGGACCAGTGACAGGCGGTCCAAGTCTCCCTGCCGGGTGCCCGGGCTTAGCAAGTGACCCCATCCCTCCTGGGGCAGGAAGTAGAGGCCTAGGGAAGCCCAGAGATGGGTGAGCTGGAGCAGAAGAGGCACCCTGGCTTTCCATGCCCAGTCTCCTCACACCAGCCCTCACACACTGGCCTCTGCCTTTGCCATGCTGGACCTTGACCAGAAGACTCCGTGACCCCACAGGGGGCTCCCACCCAGGGTGCAACTAGCAGAGCCCTACGAGAGCCTCATTCCTGCTCAGGGGGGCCAGCCGGAGCTCAGATCGCCCACCGCTCCTGGTCACACTCTCCTCAGTATAGCTCGCCGGGCCGTGTCCCTCCACTGGGCTTCAGGGCCCCAACATGGCAGTAATGGCCCTCGGCTCCCTCTGTCTGCCCCTCCACCCCCGGGGCCGAGGGTAGGGAAGCTTGACCCTGCTGGTTCCTGAGCTGCTGCAGGTGGGTGGGTCCCACAGAAAAGGACTCAAGTTCAGCCGCTCAGGCCCCCCATTCACACCGTAGTCCCCCTGCTGACCCGGCTGGGGAGCATCACCACTGGGTGATGATAACTCGGGGTCAGATGGAATAAAAGCCCTTCATGAGTTTCGTCAGTTTATTGTCCTCACATGCCGGAGAAGCCCGGGAAAGGAGGGGAGAGAGGGGTGCTGAGCTGAGCCGGGACAGTGACCACCGAGCGCCGATTCCATCGGGTTGGAGGTGCCAGAAAGGAGCAGGGGCCGGGGACCAGGTGAAGACACAGATGCCCTGCGGGCCCCACCCCACAGCCCCCCTGGGTGGTGGGAGGGGCACCCCCTGGGATCACCCGCCGGGAGGGCCCCGGTGGAGGGGCCGGAAGGTGAAGAAGATGGGCTTGTCAGGCATCAGGATGAGGTTGAAGGTGGTGTGCACGTCCACGAGATGCTGGAGTTCAACTCTGAAGTTCTCCAGAAGCTGAGCAAGAGGGGTGGCGGGCTTATGGCGGGGCAGGGGACGCCCCCCCGCCGCTCCCCACCTCTAGGCAGCGTCTGCTCAGGAGAGCCAGGAGCTCAAGGAGTCTCCCAGCAGCTCCCCATTTAACTCTGCAGAGCCCACAGACACACCGCCCCGCCTCACCGCCTTGGTTCAGGCTTTGGTTTGGTCTCATCCCACCCGCCCGCCTCCCGTAGTGCCGGCACTGGACAGACGGCCAGCGCGCACCCATGGGTGATGAGTGGATGAGCCCCAAAGAGGAGGCAGCAGAGAATTGGGGAGCCCATAGTGTTTGATGTTTGGCTCTGGCAGAGTTGGGGGTAGGAGGGTGGTGCCTATGCGGGACCAGGGTTGTCCAGAAGGCCCGGGCCCGACTCACGTGGATGAGAAAGAGAGTCATCTCCAGCTCGGCGATGCGCCGGCCCACACACTGCCGCACGCCCCAGCCGAAGCCCAGGTTCCGGAAGTGAATGAGGTCCTTGTTTTGGCCCAGCCATCGGGTGGGATCAAATTTGTGCGGTTTGAAGAAGTAGGTGGGGTCTCGGCCCATGGCGTAGCTGGCCACCTGTACCAGCGTCTGGGGGCGACGTGAAGCAAGGCCTGACCTCACCTCCTCACCGTCCTAAGTGCAGCCCGGCATCCTGCTCCCCTGCCTGTCCGGCCAACCCACACAGGCCGTTGCCACCGTGCAACCTTGGGCGAGGCCCCATCCCCGCCTGAGCATGGCTGATCGGGAGGGCATGACTGGAGAACTTAGGCTGGGGATGGCCCGAGGGACCATCTTGTCGCTCCCACAAGCCCACACCCCCCTCCCAAGCAACCGCGGGGACTTCCTCCTAACCCTGGGCCCATGTGCCCGCCACCTCTGCCTTTCACTCAAATTGGCACATAAGCTGCCAAGGGCCTCAGCAGAAAGAACAGCAGGACAAAGGTCCCCCATGCACTTTGCGCTCTGCCCACCTGCGCCCACCACTCCCGCCACACCTACCTTGGCAGGGATCAAGTAACCTCGAAGGACAAAGTCGTTTTCCACATATCGCTGCAGGGTCACAGAGATGGGGTGGAGTCTGCCAGAACAAAGCGTTCACAGCCTCAAGGCCTGGACAAAGTCCCTCCCTGCCCCCACCGCACCCCTGGACCCAGCCACAGCAACCTGAGGAATTTGCAGGCAGGACCCCGACTCTTTTTCTCCTCCCCATTCCTAGCCAACTCCCTTGCTTCTCACCACCTTCTGTCCATCTCCCCTGCTAGCCCCTCCTGGTCCCCCTGCACTGCCCATGGGCTGTGGTGACGTGGAGCAGGCTGCGCGGGCTTGCCTCAGTGTCTCCTTGATGCTGGCTTTGAGAAGCGGGACCAGCTGCACCATCTTGTTCAGGTCTCCCTGGGCCTGACTCCGGGCGGCCAGGACCTCCTCCCGCAGCGTCTCCTGCAGCTGCGGGCTGCGCGCCATCTCGTACATGTGCCACTGCAGTGTCATGGACGTCTGGCAGGGAGTGTGGAGGTGCGGAAGATCAGGGGACTGTCACTCCTGAGGCGCCTAGACCCACGTAAAATTTTCAATTCCAAGAACCTCTTCCCACCCTCATCCGGGAACCCAGAGGCACCAGCCACAAAAGCAAAGCACAATTCCAAAGACAGATGTCCAGATGTCTTTCTCAGCCCATCTCTGGACTTGTCCCTCACGTTACCAGGGTACCCCATCCCCCAAGCCAGTGAAGGATCCCCTCACAGCCAGAGGACCCCACATGCTGACAGAAGCCAAATCCTTCTGTATTGTCTAGACTTCTGAATGACTGCTGCTCCCTTTGGAACGCCTGATAAACCACCCTCCCTCTCCCTCGAAGTTCTCATCTGCCTCGTGCCGCACAGCAGAAAGTCAGGCTCACGGCACTGAAACAGAAGCCAGCGGCGTCATTCGCATGCGTGAACAGCACGGGTTCGAGCTGCAAGCGTCCACTTCTGTGCACCTGTTGTCAATGAGTAAGTTGACCCTCCAGATCCCAGGGTTCTGCATTTAGAGAGCCAGGTCAGGGCTTGATTTGAGGGACAGGAGCATCGGAGGATGTGGGTATCCTTAGAGGCTCCCTAAGCCAATCTCCCAAAGATATCGAGGGATGACAGTAACGAAGTTTCAGAGATTTCAAATGTGACACGCCGACTCTCAGCACCCCAGGGCCCCCCATTCAAGGGTCCACTGCGCCGTGATTCACCAGAGGTTGTGTGCATTCACTGGGGCGTGAGTGACCCTCCTGAGGGGCCCAGTGCTAGATTCCACAGTATTGGGACCCCAACCTGGGCAACCACCCCAGGACATGGTTCGTGGCACATTATCTTGCCAAGAATCAGGTACTGCCTATGGTCTCTCCAAGAGGCTTGGACACTCCTTCTTCCTCCCAAGAGGAGCAATCGTGAAAAAAATGCCATCCATTAGGAGCGTCGCTGGTGGCGCAGGGGATAAGTCTCAAGCACTATCAAGCTATCGCCAGTGACTGCAGCCTGAGTTCGATCCCTGGCCAGGGAGCTGACCCACATGGCGCAGCAGACCTCTCCTGTCTCGCCTGCTGCTCCCCTCAGCAGTGGATTTCAGTAGATCCGCCTGTTCTGCTCCCCACTCTGTCTCTGGTGAATCCTTTCAGCTGTCTGCTGCTCCCAACCCCACCCCTACCTCTCTCCAGCATGCACCTAATGCTTTAGTCCCACTGAGCTACACACAAATCCCGGAAAGTGTCCTCATGCTATTTCCTTGTCCTACATTTCCCTCCCCAGCCTAGGGAGCAAGTATGTACTCTTTCAAGGTTCAGCCTGCATTTGTCTGGCTACCTCCAAGGCCTGACACAGGAGACACTTGTTTAATAAGAGAGTTAACTAAGTTACTAGCTATGTGACCTTGAGTAAATTCCTTGACCTCTCTGCGTCCAGTGTTGTCTGTGAATACTAAACAAGTTAACACACTTGAAAAGTTCAGGACACTGCCTGCCATAAATTCCGTGCTGAATAGATGTTACCTAATAATAATAGCTTCCTGGGTGCAGGGGAGCATTTTTTTGGAGATCTCGTCCACATAACTGACAAATGAACGGTGCTTAAAATCTGCGTAAATGTGTCATCCGCAGCCTGTCTCAGGGACTGAGATGCCGCCACGGGAGCACAGTGTAAATGTGATACCTAGGAAAGAGGATTATTTGTCCAGGGGGATTTGTCAAGAGCTTGACATTCCCTAGTCCTGAAACGCTCTCTGCCCCCTCTCCTCCCGGCGACAGCTTTCAAGACACGGGTTATCCATTCGAACTCCTCCTCGGAGCACTCGCTGGGTCCTGCAAGGCCACGCTAGTGTCTGCCCTCCCTTGGGTGCCGTGAGTACCTGGGCCGTGCGGGTTGTCCAGCCCCACATCGTGGAGTGGGGAGCCGCTGTGCACGTTCTGCCCTCCTGTCACTGGCAGGGCAGCGTGCCCTCTAAACCCAAGCACGGAAACCCTAAACCCCAGGCCCCCACAGCGCCACTGTGTTTGCAGATGATTAGTGTGAACCGAGGCCATGTGGGTGGGCCCTGGTCCAACAAGACTGGATTAGAAGAAGTGGGCTTAGAAGAAGAGGTGAGGACAGACACAAGAGAGAAGAGGAGCCAAGGCAGGCTCAGGAGAAACCCTCCTGCCGACACCTTGACCTTGGACTCCTGGCTCCAGAAATTAACTTTCTGCTGTTTCAGCCACCCAGCCTGGGTCCTTTCCTATGGAAGACCTAGCTGGCTGATACCCATTTCTTCTCCGAGCTGTTGGGCCATGTGAGGTCTATTATATTCATCTTCCTGGTCTCTCAGTGTCTGGATCACACCTAACTATAAACAGTAAATGATTAGCCCTCACTATCACGTTAGCATCACAGTGTTGAAGATATTAGACACAGGACAGATGAGTTTTGACATTCAAGAGAAGTTTCTAGGCTATCATGTCCCCATAGGCAGTACCTGAGGGAAACATCTCAGAAGATGCCCTCTGGCACCAGGGGAAACTGCCTGACTGAGTTCTGGAAGCCGGAGCAGGGAAGACAACAAAAAGACCCTGGCGGGCTGAGGCCGGGGCAAATTCCACAGGCTTCCAGCTTTGCCAGGTCTTTCCCTGAATCCGAGTGAGCCGTGTCTTCCGCCTGAGCCCGCCGGGTTTCCCGACAGACTCGCGAGGACCCTGAGCCCACCACCTGCCTGTCACTCCCTTGGCACAGGCAGGAACTCCATGGCAGAGCAATTCGGAAGTGGAATCCCTGGAGAAGCAGGGCTCAGACAAGGAGGCTGGTGGGGAAGGACACAGGAGGCGAAGGAAGGACAGGCTGTGCCCTCTGGCATTCTCACCGTGTCCACGCCCCCGGCCAGCATCTCCGTGATATTGGCCTTGACGTCCTCTAAAAGCATCTTATTACTCTCCAGCAGGCGGTAGAGGACGCCCGGGTAACCGTCGAATTCTCTTTTCTGTCTCAAGTCCCAGGAGAAGTTCTGGGTGTACATCTCGGCTGTGGGGCCGGGGGAGAGAGAAAAGGGCGAGGCCCTCAGAAGTTGGAGGGAAGAAGCATCTCCCGTGAGAGCTGGTGCCAGGGTCTGGGAGGTTCTGGAACCTGTGCTTTTTAGGGGACCCTTTGAGCACACGCTCTCTGCTAAGCCCCCTCTTGAGTTCTTGACCACAACGCTATGGGGTAAGCGATGTCTCCACGTTGCGAATGAGGAAACGGCAGCCCTTGGAGGGCGGCGACTCATCCAAGGTGTGAGGGTGTCAGGGGCAGGGGTGGGTTTTGACTCCAGGCCTGGTGACATCCTCCACCCCAATTGGCATCACCTGTCCTCACCCATTCCTATCTGCCCTGTCTGAAACTGATCTTTAACCCTGTAGGGATCACGGGCTCCTTGGAAGATTGTGATGGACATCTTTGATCCTCTTTCTCCAGAAAATCTAATCATCCCAAAATCCAGGCCTCACCCCACCTCTCAGGGGTTCCAGGGAGTTCCTGATGCCCATCCCTGCCCACCTGCGGGGAGGTTTCCCACATGGCAAGCCAGCATCCCGAGCCCTAACTAGGAGGCAGACTGACACCTGTGCTCCCAGCTAGTGCGTTCCCTGTCTCAATCTCTCCTCCTCCCTCCCCCAGGCCTGGGTTTCCCACCCGCTGGATCGCCAGGACTCCCTTGGCCCAGATTTGGCCGCCCAAGGTCCAGCCAGGGGCATCCTCACCCTTATTAAAAATTACATCCCAGGCAGCCACATGGTCCTTCCAGGTCTTGGTCCTGAGCAGACGGAACAGGTTTGGGGGGAGGTGGAGCATGGGCACGCTGGTGTGGAACATCTGGTAGACAGCATCAATGAAGCGCTCAGACTCGGGGTCCACTCTTTCCTCTAGCATCCCCAGGCGCTCCCCAAATACGACGTTGGTGATGGCTGCAGGAGGAGACAGGCTGAGGAGCCCCTTCCAAACCAGCCACCAGAGTGCCCCCCGCCCCAGGGGTTCCCCACCCCCACCAACAGAGTAAGGAAACGGAAGCCTGAGGAGCTGAAATGGCAGAGCTTCAGAAATCACCTTTCGGGCAACCGCTCAGGTCCTTTGGAAAGGGCTCTCATAGGTGGGAAGCAGTCCTCGGCAGAGCTTGGAGAGGCCCACCCTTCCGCCAGCAACCCAAAGAGCCCCTCGGTGTCCCTCTTGGGAAGAGAGATTTCTTATCTATAATTGTCTGAGTTGATGTTCAACAGTCCTGCATTGCTAAAGGACCAGGATACATTCTGAGAAGGTCATCAGAATGACCTGCTGTGCAATTCCACTGTGTAAACACCAAAATGTAACTACCCAAATGCAGGAGGTAATGCCTACCACACATCTCGGCCAGATGGCGTAGTCTGTTTTGACCACTGTCATACACGGTCTGCTGTTGACCAAACAGTCGTTAGGCCACACGTGAAACTAGTCAGATAGGACATGAGGAACATAAATCCCCAGGTGACTGGCCATCCAGGATACACTCTGCCTGGAGCAAAGAAGTCACAGCAACCCCAAGTTTTCTTGCCTACTGGGTCATCCTGGGTATGAATGCGGATTTCATACCAAACTCTGCACATCCCAAATCTCCTGCAGTGGCCACAGGATCCCCATCCACCGTAGGGCCTTTGCCTGAGGTATGCTCTCCCCCGATAATACCTGACCTCCTTACACCGTCTGGCTCACACCTACCTACCTCTTCAAACACCCCATCCAGATTAGTCACTCAAGCCTCCTGCTCCTGCCCTGGATTGCGGGTGGTGGAGGATGTGCTCAGCAGCTCCTCCCAGAAGGCCAGCCCTGTGCCCCTTTGGGGTCTGTGCTGGGTCTCAAGGCGGATTCTGGGCTCTCCCACCCCCGGGACCACGGCCAGCATGGTGCCATCCCCTTACACTCAAAGGCGAAGCGAAACAGGTCATTGCTGATGTCCCCTGAGAACTTTCCCATGTCCTGCTGCTCCACGCGCCTGTGCAGGAGGCTGACGAAGTCCTGAGACACCGGGTCCAGCAGGGGGATGAAGTTCTTTATCGACTCCGGAGCCATCACCTCCTGGTTCAGGGTCAGCCGGTCTCTCTTCCAGGCCGTGGAATTCCTGAGAAAACAAGGGCCCTCGGGCCCTCATGGTCACAGACCCAACCTGGCAAACACAGAAGGGCTGGCGTGGCTCGCCCAGGAGGCCAAGGCACAGGCCCAGAGTCCGGCACTCATGTCCATCCCAGCCCTCCAGTCCCCCCAAGGCCCTCTGCCCCTCACCTCCTCGCAGCTTCTGCCTGGCCTTAGGATGAGACAAGGAGAAAGAGCGGGGAGAACAAACCTCACCCCCTCCTCATGCACCCGCTGCTGCCACTAGACAGCAGAAACTCTTAGGACTTTAGGACACGTCCCCACCCCCCACCCCCCCACCGCCGTCCACCTCCACCCCAGGCTGCCTTCCCACCTCCCTGTCGCCTGGCGGATGCTCACCTTCTGCTATTGAAGGGCCTCTCTACATCACTGTTCTGGCTCCTGCCCGGACCAGCCTCTCCTCACCACACCCCCGCCATGTCCCACTGCTGTTGTTGGGGGATCTCAGGTGCCCGGAACTGAGTTAAACCTCAGCTTTATAGCTTATTCTCAGAACTAGATCTGTCATGCAGAGCCCTCTTTGTCGTGGTGGGGGTCGGTCTGGTTATTATAAACTTACTTACACACGCCCCCCTGGCCCTCCCACCTCTGCCCGGCCCCTCTGAGGGGAGCCTGGGACTTGCTTGTTTGCTGTGTAGCTAGCTTGACTGATCTGCATGCATTTCTGGAACATACTAAGAAAAACTGTTTACTTGGTCTTAACTTCTTTCAAAAGCTGGCATGCTCAGGGATTTTCCTTGTTTGCTCAGTTTTATGTTTCTGAGCCTCAGCTGCAGCACCGTGGGCCATGCTCCTCCCTCCCCGCTCCCAAGTTAGGCATTTGAGTGCTTTGGTGATGCCTGTACCTGTGCCTCGGGGCTACTGGGGGGGACGTGGTGGGAGCATCCCTAGGAGGTCTGTGAAAACTGAGCTTCAGGCGATAAGGACTGGCCTTTTCCCCAGCCCGGCTGGGTTTGTCACTCCTGCTAACGAGGAACGGGAGACCCATTTGTTTGGCACCAACGCCTGAGGTGGTCACGTTCGCAGTTCTGATGAGCAGCTTGGTAGAAACTCCACTTAAACCCAGTGATTTGTCTGGTTTCTCTCCGCCCCTTTAGACAGTAGGGGACTCCCGCCTGTCCGTAGCCCTGAAAGATGGCCAAGCCGTTGGCCATCGGCATATTCCAGAGGGGCAGGAATATTCAGGGGGTGCCTGAGCACCAGCTAGAAAGAGCAGGGCAAGAGGCCCTCTGCCCTCACCACAGCGGCCAGCCCCTCCGTCAGGCCCCAGAGCCACCCAGGACTCACTTCAGCAGGACTCCGATGGGCCTCTGGAAGTGCTGGTGATAGGACACCCAGGGCGGGACTCGATAGCGCTCAGGGTTGGGACCTTCGAACTTAAAGAGAAGGGCCACGTCTTTAGGGTCGATGATGTAAACGGACTCCACGCTGCCGAGCTTCTCCCTGGAGGGCGGAGAGTGGGGCTGCGATGTCAGGATTTTAAGGGGATCCCGCAGACCCTGGGCGATCAGGACCATGGCCGGTGATTAAGAGCCAAGGACAGCCTGGCCGCAGAACATGTCCCCAGCCTCCTGGCTATGCGATCCCGCAAGGCCCCCAGCCTCTGCTTCTTCTGGTCAGTGGCGATCCCACCAGTGCCTCCTTGTCTCTCAGGGCTGTGTCTGCAGACGACCCCGTCAGGCGTCAGCAAGTGCAGCTTTCTGCCACTGCCAGTCACGGCTCGTCCCCAGGACCACAGATTCCCCTGTCCCGTGCTCCCTCCTCAGCCACACCTGTCAGCCACCACAGAGCTCAGAAATGTCGCCCCTCCATGTCACCACCAAACGACCAAACCGGAGTGACTGCAGGTCCCTTGCTAGCGGGTCAGACACCTGCCACTCGATCCCTGCCAGGCTCCAGCTGGAGCCCTCTGACAAAGCAATGTCTCCATTAAAACATAACCAACGTGTGACTCCAGGACCTAAGTACAGAGACACCGCCCAAGGAGCTTTGTGGACAGTCTCTTAAAACGGGGCTGTCACAAAACAGCAGAAAACTCCGTTTCTCACTTGCATCTGCCTTTTGCCTAAGAAAGTGAATGCAAAACACTTGAAGGCAACGTGTCCCAAAACCACACAGGTACAAGCCGAGGTAACTCTCCTTCAGATTCTCTCTCTCGCCCTTCCCTCCCTCCCTCACCCCCCTGTCTCCCTCTCCTGCTTTTCTCCCTTCCCTTCTGCCCTCTCCAGAGAGAAAGAAAAGGGATCAGCACTTTAACCACTGCCCCATGGGGCCTGAGCGTATCTTCCCAAGTCTCCTCGACATTTGACCTTCGTCCATGGCTTCCCAAAAAACCCTGGTGTTTTTCCAGCTACCACATGTCCTCATGCCACCATCCAGCTCAGTCAAATCCTTGAACTGCCATTATTATTATCAATTCCACTTCTGGGAACCCGGCCCAAGGCAATGATCTGACACAGCAGAACAAGGCCTGATGGATGAGCACATTCCTCCCAGCACCCTCATTTCTGATCGTGAAAAAGCCCAGAGTGGACTAAATGTCCACCTTCATGATCTGGCCAGAGAGTGTGGCTGCTGTGCACGGCTAGGCTGCCTTTTAAGCTGTAGGAGACAGAAAAACGCGGCCAGAAACCCTCCGTACATTGCTGTGGGCGATACCAAACTTTCCATACCATGCATCCACATTCTCGATGGTGCACACATAATCTTGAAATGGGGATAGTATTTGACTCCAAGTTTTCTTTTCTTTTCTTTTCTTTTTTAAAGATTTTTCTTTCTTTATTTTTGTGTAGAAGAACTAGGGTGTAGGCCAGAGGTGGGGGGGGGGTGCTGTGAGAGGATTCACCAGAGACAGAGCGGGGAGCAGAACAGGCAGATGTACTGGAATACACTGCTGAGGGGAGCAGCGGGCGAGACAGGAGAGGTCTGCCGTGCCATGTGGGTAGCTCCCTGGCTGGGGACCGTAATCATGGTGATAGCAATGAGACTTAATCCCTGGCCACCACAGAGGCCCCTATTCCAAGTTTTCATTTGCGATTGTCTTTATTGTCTAAATTGTTCTATAAAGAAAACAACCTGTGAAAGTTGTAGTTTAAATTCCTCATGTTTATGCAGAAGTTTATCATTCCCAGGCTGTAAACTGAATAGAATGGAAACACACAGAACTGACACAGGCCAGACAATTGGGTTCCAGCCCTGGCTGGACTCTGATGAGCTGTGTGACCTTCACGAAACACTTCTCCTGGGCCTCAGTTTCCCCACGGAAGAGGGAAACGGTAACACCCACCTGAAGGACATGCTGGCGGCTCAGATGAAAGGGACTCAGAGGGGCTTAATAAAATAAGGACTTCCTCCCTGAGGGGGTAGGAACTGGGGAAGGCAGAGGATAAGGAGAGAAGTCCACAAAGGGAGGCTGGGGACAGAGGCACTGCAGGCCTAAGAGAGAGAAGAGAGACACAGGAACAACCTTCTTCCAAGCCCGGTACTCAGCCCGGGGCCACCCTCAGCTGAGATCTCAGAGGAAGGGGGTGGGGTGGGGGGTGAGCAGCTGTACCCTACACAAACAAGCCGCTCCCGCCCACCCGCCCAGCAAGCCAGCGAGGCGTCACAGCCATGCCCTTTCTCCATCTTGACCCTTTTCCACTTCAAGTGAGAGTCCCTGTCCCTCCTGGTGTCGCCTCCTCGCCCCAATCACCACCTCCACCACCTTGCACCCCGCCGTGAAGCGCTCACCGAGGCAAAGAACCCGCTGTGGCTTGAAGGTTGCCTGTCTCAGAAACTGCTAAAGCAGAACAAGCCAGGGTGGGGGTGGGGGCACTCAGGCGAAGGCCCAGACAGACGCTTGGGGAAGACACTCAGTGTGAGGGACACAACCGGCTTCTCCAGAGCCGTGCGGGCAGCCACACGTCAGTACCCAGCAGGACAGGGTTTTGCTGGGTGACCGGTTGCAGAATTCTAGCCTCTCTGGCCTTCAATCGCCTGTGACATTGGGACTGATAAACTTACCTCCCAAGGCGCCCTGCGGATGACCCCCAGAGAGTATCAAAAGGTAGAGGACCCTTGAGTAGAAGCGCAAGAGCGGGGAACCGTACGCATCGTCTAGAAAACCTTATCCCCCCTTCTGCCACCCTCTCAGGCATGGAAGGAATAAAATCAGAAGGTGGGCAAGAGCTGGATCCAGGCAACCGGACCGTTTGGGGAGGGAAGGTGCAGGAGGGCTCCCCGGCCTCGCTGCCTCCCTACCCCTGCCCTCTGTCAGACTTACCTATATATGGGGCCATACTTCTGGAAATTCTGCTCTTGGTGGTAGTGCATTTTGTGAAGGCCATTCTCCCTCCAGAAATGATACAGGTTTAGCCAGCCGTTGTCCCCGGGAGAGGGGATCTCACTGAAGGGGCGAGGGCTGGGGTGAGTGGCGAGGCCAGCTCCCTCTCCAGGGGGCACCCTGGGATGGCCAGGGCCCTCCCAAGGGGTGCCCAGGAGGGGCTGGCAGCCTTTGACCAGGACTGGGCGCAGAGGAAGCCCCCTGGCCAGCATGCTGCCCCCACGGCAGAAAGGCCAGCCGAGCAACTCTGGCCCTGGGCCCCCAGGTCCCGGCTTATAACCACCGGCTCAAGGCTAAGGGAGAAGCTGACTAAGGAGTCAGCTCCCTCCTCCTGCTGGCTGAAGCTCACTCACAGCCCCTCCCGGACTTGGGGTACTGAGATAGAAAGGAATTTAGCACAAAGGCGGCTAGTAGTCCCTCACTCCTGCCCGCCCCCCACCACCCGCCCCCATCGCAGAATTCCAAGAAAACAGTTGGACACGTTTCAAAGCAAATCAACACACCCAGTCAGTTTAGACCCTTATCTCACACTGGGTGCCACTAGCTATAAAACTTCTTGTCTTAGTTCACCAACAGAATGCGAAGGCCCAGTGGTCTTGTTAAGTAAAACTGGTTGGAACGCATTCAGGACCCCATTTGTGAGCCCCCGCCCCTCCCCTCGAACTACGCAAATATTTCTATCAGCAGCCTTAATGGCCAAGGAAGCAGCTCCCCTTGGCGTCCGCCCGCGCTCACTCGTGAGCGTGTACTTTCAACTACGAAAGAAGATTTCTAATGCACCTGCGCTGGCTTCTGCAGGAACTCTTTCCTGAGCAGATGTCAAGACTCTCCTGGGTCCCTCCCCGCCCCCGGGGCCTCAGCATGGTGGTGAGCCAGCCCAGAGGAATTCTCCGCAGTGAGTCGTTCCCTTGCTCTCTTCCTTTTCTGCCTTTCCTCTTCATCTACCCAGAGGCTCAGAACATCATCTCTCCCTTGTCTGCCCTTCACAGCTCCCCATTTATCAGGTGGTGATATTGTCCCAGGCCTGCAGGTCCCAGTGGCCAGTGGGTTTCACCTGAGGGTGAACCTGAAGGGATGTGGGAGCAGCAGAGCTTGTGAAAGGGAGGCATTCACCTGGCCTCCTCCTTCTTTCCTGCTTTTGCCCTTTTACCGCCAAGAAAATCTCTCTCTCCTCCCTTGTGCTCAACGCCCACTCCCAACCACACGCTGTCCTCAGGACGGAGTTGTCACATTGGTCTCTCACCTCGAACCAAGGAACAGCCTTGGTGCATTTTAACAGGGAGACACCCCACCAGGGTGTCTCTCTCGGCCTGTCTTGAGACACTGCTCCTTCTGCCTTCCCTGCTCATCTGCTGACCCAGAGTGAGTCCTGAAGTTTCCATATTTGGTTTTCAGAAAAACAGCCTAAAAATTAGAATTAGGAGGAAAGGTGATTTTTTCACCTGCTTTCTTTGAAAACTGCTCTCCGAAGTTATGAAACAGTCAAGTTCACGTCTTTATCCATAAATGGATGAAAAGAGAAAAGTTTCTTCTTCAGAGAGACTTTTGAAGCTCCCCTCTGCTGCAGTCTGGCCCAGGCCCCCAGGAATTCCAGGCAGCTCAGGACCAAAGCCAAAAGAGATCGGAATCGCCCATCTCGGGTTTGGTAACCAGAGGCAAGGAAGCAGGTCCTCCTCCTGCTGCCCACATTAGAATGCCCAGCATTCTAACTCTCTCTCTTGCACAGAATGAAGTGTCTGATCCACCAGACCTCTGCCTACCATGGGTGAGACCCAGTCAGTCCTTCGTGATGATGAGGCCCAGGGGTGCCAAGGGACCCCAAGTTTCTTCTATGCAGAAAACAATTCCTGCAGGAGTCAGTATAGGTGAGTGAGAAATGAAGCTTTACTGTAGGTGCAAGTACGTGGGCAGATTCTGAGAAGCCTGCCTTGGGCCTTCAGGATGCTGGAATTGCTATTTGTTTTGTTTGAGGGGGCAGAGGCTCACAGATGGAACCAAAAGTTTCACAACTTTTGCCTAACAATAGGGGCAGGAATTTTCAGGTTGGGCAATAACATTTGGCCAATTGGTTTAAAAAACCACCAGACCCTAAATTCCTGTTAGATAGAAGTTTTACAACTAGTGGCTCCCATGTGTGAGATAAACTAATAGAGTTCGATTCAAACTAGTAGAACTTGAGTCACTTTGTTCTGAAATGTGCGCGGTTGATTTTCAGAAATACTGGATGGGGCAAAACATTTAGCAGCCATTGTGCTAAATTCCTGTTCTATTTCAGCGACTCTCCTTTGGATTATATACTGAAAATATGGAAGCAGTTCAAGGTGAAGGGCTAAGTAAAAAGGACTAATACTCTTTTGTGAGCTCCTGGCAACAGTTATGAATTGAAAAACGGAAAACACGATATGCTCAACTACATCTAGCTCACTGGTAAATCCTCTCCCTGAAGGTCAATTGCAGTTCAAAGTTCAATCGCAGTTCAAAGTGACACCGGTTGGGCAATTTTGAGCCTAAAACCCTGATCCTTTCCCGTGTTGCCAAGACGTGGGCACAGGGCAAGAGATTTTCCTACCTCAGAAAGTTAGACGCAGCACTGCAGCGGGCTGGTGTGGGGCTGCCTTGGTTCTCAGCAAGCAGCTGCCTGTACTTACGTTACAGTGTTGAGACCATTGGTATGTCTCTGCCACCTTCCAGCTGTGGGGGCTGTTTTTCTCTCTTCCCTCTCCTTCACATCTGTCCTCTCCTAAAACTTTACATGGCTTATTTTTATTCTTGTGTTCCAATTTGCAGGACAACACGTTTTCTCTGTCATACTGTAACTGGAAAATGCCAGGGTTGGGCTTCCTGCTGAGACACAGGGCAAGCTAGGGTTATTAGGCAGTTTTAGGGACAGTGCAGGAGGGGACCTCTGAAGAATTTAGGGAGGCTTCAGAGATAAGGACAAGCAAGGAAATGAAACCAATTCCACTGGGAAAAACAAACATCCCAGGACCATTGTTAACAAAATGGGAAAAACAAACATTCCAGCACCACGGACAATATCCAGGATGGTCCTGGTTTTCTTCAGGTGATAAAGATAAAGTGTGGAGATGCTCTCCCGGAAGACTAGGCCATAAAGATAAAGCTGTAACAAATGGGGAAAGAGAAAGCTGTTAGATAAGGAATGTGAAGATCCCCCACTCAGTAGCAAATTAAGTGAGACAGCCGAGAACTGACCAATCACAAAGAGACTGGTGAAGTTTTAGAATAATCAGGGAAAGAAGGTCTATATTCCCTGAGACATGACTCCACTTTGGCTTCCTTGCCCCTCCCAGGCCTGGTTCCCTGGCCTGCGAGTCCCACTTTATTTCTGTTCTTTTTCTCCTCAATAAACTTTTTCTTTCTCTAGACAAACCTGCCTCTTCTCGCTTGCTTGCCTGAGCGTCTGCGAAGTTCCTGCTGCGGCTTCGTGAGACACCAACCCGTGGGGGTCTAGCGGCTGGGGCTCAGCGCTGCCCTGCAGCCTGGGATCCGTTCCTGGCTGGGAGACTAGGCCTGACAATTCCGGTATCACTGCCGCTGCCGGAAACCAATTGAACAGAGGCAGTAGTTGAATCTATATCACACACTTTAATGTCAGAAAGCCAGCAATCTGAGAGAATGGGGGTATTTTACCCCAAAAACCGGTTCTAACATCTCATCTCAAGCTGACCTTTTTCTAGTGAGCTAAACAAAGGCAGTTCATCATAAGCAAATCTGCCACCACAGCAGCCCATCACGGTTGGTGTCCTCATCTTCATCATGTCCCCAGAGTTTGTTGTCAACTCCTTGGTCAACTTGACCCAGGTTCTGGGAAATATCTTTGTTCTCCTGATGGCATCAATGTCCGACACTTCTTAGGCTTCACTGGGGCAAGACTCCCAGTTCAAAAGGAAAGTTTCAGTTCAAAGAAAACAGATTATTAATCACCCGGTGTTTGCACATAGCCTCTGTGTGTATGTGCAAATTCCTATACTAGCTATGCTGCCTTCCCAAGCCCCCATCAATATCTCTCCTTGAAACTCATAAAACAGTCTCCCCGAGAACCAGCTTCCATTCCCCTTCCCCCAAGCCCCACCTTAGCTAAGCTATTTGGGATGATGACTGAAGCAGCATGGGTGAACAGCCTGGCACCCCAAGACGGCTGCAGGATGAAGAGTTCTAGTACTTCCGGACATACTGATGTGTAAGGTGAAGGTTTTTGCCATCTCAGACTCCCGAACTCCCTCCCTCCTTGCAGAAGTCTAGTAAAGACAAAATGGTAAGAAATTATATCATTCATAAATTTTAAATGGATAGGAAAAGATTTGTAGGTTAAGGTCATTGGTGTTGTAATTTTGACTTTGAAGGGTTTTTGTCTTGATATTGGTCTCTCATCCTAAAGATGTAACTTTCCATCTTTCCTGCTTGTCTCTCAAGACTTTTGTTTTATATTGTATGGCTGAGGGTTTGGTTTTTGTTCACCTTGAGCTGCTTTTCTGGTCTGTTTCTATTTCCTTGTGTTTTCCTAGTCTTAAAAATCCACTTCCAGACTCAGTTTAAGAAAAAATTTCTGGGCCTCCCTGGTGCACAATGGGTTAAGACTCGAACTATGAAGCTGTCCGCAGACTCTGCAGCACGAGTTTGATCCCGGGCCTGCCAGGGAGCTACCCACATGGCGCAGCAGACCTCTCCTGACTCGCCCGCTGCTCCCCTCAGCAGTGTACTTCGGTCAATCTGCCTGTTCTGTTTCCCACTCTCTCTCTGGTGAATCCTCTCACCACCTGCACCTCTGGCCTGTATCCCAATTCTTGTATGCATAAATAAATAAATCTTTAAAAAAAATAAAAAATGAAAAAAGACGTACTTGCTGTTAAGAAGACTATCAATGTTATATGTAAAATAATCAGTGCCGTTCAACTGAAGTTAAAAAACTAAGTCCGATCCAAGTATTGCAATGTGTGGCGCTGAATTACCTACCTCTTGGCCAGAAAGAATAATTATTGCCATATTGACAAACTGTAGGATAATAGCCCTGCAAATTGACCTTAACAGAGTATCCCAGATCCACCAACATGGTTCTCAGGAAAGCCATCAAGGCTATCATCCCTGACTGGGGTAAAAATGATTATATTCTTTTATGTCTTATTTCTGCATCGTGTATTCGCAATCTCACTGTCAAATTTGTTTGCTCTAGACTACCACAACTCCCTATCAACACGATGCTGATAAGGGGAATGCAGCTTGTACCTGTAATATAACTTATTCCTATAATATGACTTTTTTTTTTAATTAATAAATTTTATTTTTATATTCCCCATACAATTGCAATCCCCCCATTCTGACCCCAATCCAGCTAACAACACCCTCCAGGAGGAAGTAGCAACAGAAGACTTATCTTCCCACATTC